TTCCTCCTCTGTGGCTTTGGTGGTTGGGGCATAAATGTGAATAACAGTCATATTAACGGGTCTTCCTTGTAGGCGTATGGATATTGTCCTATCACTGACAGCATTGTACTTCAGGACAGATCTTGAAACATCCTTTGTGATGATGAATATTGATAACATCACTTAAATATCTGAGACCTTAAAAAAGAGGAAAAACTTACCAATTTATTTTATGAAACTCGCATAACTTAATAAAAACACTGTAGTGAACATGAACAAAGAAAAGTGTACAGTTGTGAATGTATAGCTTGATGAATTTTCACATATACTACCCACAGTTAAAAACCAGAACAATGTGAGCACCCAGAAACCTTCCTTATGCCCATTTTTAGACAGTGTTACCTGCTGAAGATACCCAGCATGCTGTTGTCAGCATAACTTCTAATACCAAAAAAAAAAAAAAAAACCCTTTGCCATTGAGTCAATTCTGACTCAGAGTGACCCCCATTGGATTTCTGAGGCAGTAAATCTTTACGGAATTAGATTGCCTGGTCTTCCTTCCATGTAGCAGCTAGTGGGTTTGAACCACCAACCTTCTAGTTAGCAATCAAATGCCATAGGCAATGTACCACCAGAACTCCATTTACCTGATAAAAATAGTGGAAAAATAGAAACTTGTGAATCATTTAACTTATAAGTATAAAGGCAAATTTTCTAAATGAGACATTAGGAAACAGAACATAGAAATAGTATCTATACACATGTATACACATATTATTGATAATTTCACTGTTCACTATTTTCCTTGCACTTCCACTGAGGTCTTGCTAAAGTAGATACTTTAACAGCAGTTTTCTCAGTAAGGAATTGTGGGTATTAAACTTTCTTTGCTCTGACATGTTTTAAAACATATTTATTTTACCCCTGCTCTGAAAAGAGAGTTTCAGTGATTACAGAATTCCAGATTGACAGTTGTTTCCCTGTCACCTTTAAGACACAATCATTTTGAGTATTTAACACCATTGCCTTCTGACATCTATTGTTATTGAACACTGGCAATTTGTCATTTTTTTGTATGGAATCGATCTTCTCTTTTTGTGGTTATAGTTTCCTTTCCTACTTTTTCGTACTTTTGCATCATTGCTACTAGGCATAGAATTTTAAAAATTTCTTGCTAATCACTCAGTGAGATATTTCAACCCAAGGTCTCATGGGTGTCTTCATTTCTGAAGAATTATCAGCCATTTTATTTTTAAACATTTTCTCTTTTCATTCCCCCTTTTTTCTCTTGCAGCTCTCAATGGATATATTTCTGAACTTGTCATTCTACCCCCCATTATCCTTAACTTCTCTTTATAATTTCCTCCTCTTTTTATGCTAGGTTCTAGAAGCTTCTCTCTCTGAAATCTTCAAACTCATTATTTCTCTCTGTTTAGCTGCATCCAGTATACTATTGAGGTAGTTTATTGAAGATAATTATCATTTTATTTTATGACCGTGTTTTTTACTTCCAAGATATCCTCTATGTTCTTTTTCAAATTTTCCTGTTCTTGTTTCATGGTTGCTATTTCCTATCTGTCTTTGAGTAGTTAACATAGTAGTTTAAAGTCCTCAGATTGATCTCTATAGTCACAGGTGCTGATTCTTCCATTTGTTGAACATTGATTATTGTTGAGATAATAGACTTCCTGGTGTGCTTAATTTATTTTGAAAGATATTCTTGCTTGGGTGTTTTCCTTTATTGGCACCTTTTCATATGATCTGTATTTCCTCAACCCTGGCCCAAATGCGTTCCACAAGTCCAAACAAAGCCTTATATTCAGCTAATCAACTTGGATCTTTCACTCCATACTAATGGTCCAATTTTGAACTTAACACATATTGCCTAGGCTCAGTTCCTATGTTCTATTGAGTGCTTTTGCTTCTTTCATTTTTATGTATGAATTCACTGTTCTCAAAAGTAAAAATCTATGTCCAAGATATTTAATGAACTACATAGTTTATTTAACAAGACCAAGTTACTTTTTATAATAACTAAGCTGAAGGTAAATGAACAGAGACTTACGAACTAGAGGGGGGAAAAGAGCAGACATCTGCTGGCTCTCTACATATCTCTTCTCTTCGTTGTATTTTATGTTCATGAATGAATCTGAAGTAGTGTGTGTCCATTTCACAATCCCCTTATAATATCTCCACTCTAGATCCTTTAGATCCATGAATTGCTTTTCTGAAAAGAATCACATTTTCAAAGAATCACTTGGTGTTGTTATTTAAGCTTTAGTTACTCAGAGATGCTTCATGGATAGAGTAAACCTTTGGTGATCCTGAGCTTTATAAACTGGTAGAACTTGATGCTCATCCTATCTACTCTCCCTCCCAAAAAAATAAGAAATTGGGTGGGTCTGGCTAACTTAACCTACAGGATCACGGCCAGTAGAGGGAGTAGCTCCTTTGGTGCTGGGATATTAACAGACTATAGAGAGACCAGCGGGGTACTGATGACAATGAGGAAGAGAAAAGGATTGTTGGTGTAATTTCTTCCAAACTGTAAGCCCTGAGTATAAAAGGGCAGTGGCTTAGCTTGAGTTTCTGTTTTTCCTACTCTTTCAGGAGCTGTGAGCTTGGAGGATCACTTGTAATTGCAATTCCCTCAAGTAGCCAAGGGGTCAGGGAAAATCAAATCAAGATATGCTGTATATTCCCCTACTAAGCAGTCATTTTCCTTTCATTCCCTTAAATTCTAAATAAATTATAAACCTAAAATAATAATAATAACAAGGCAGGGCTTGAGTGTAAAACCAGGGATCAGAGAGTCAAAAAGAGAAGCATAGGAGTATATGGAGAAAAATGAGCACAGCAGACTCTTTAGCCAAGACTGTTCCTGCTCCTTGGACCAAATGTGTTCTGGGTGGCCAATCTATTATTTTCTATTTGTTCCTTCCTTCTTTCTCATTACACTGAATATAAAAATGGTGGTGTCAAATATTTCTGTGCTGCCTCAAGAACCTACTTCAGAAGTGCTCAAATCTTTTGTATCATTGACTTAATTTATTTTTGTAGCTATGTAGAATGACAAAGTATTACTCATTGCCACCAAGTCCATTCAGACTCATAGCAACTTTATAGGACAGGGTAGAACTGCCCCATAGAGTTTTCAAGGCTGTAAATCTTTACTGAAGCAGAGTGCCACATCTTTCTCCCATGGAGCATCTTGGAGGTTCAACTGCAGAGTTTTTGGTTAGCAGCCAAGTGTTTAACCACTGCACCAGCAGGATTCCTAACAAAATATTACCACCTTCAGATTACATGAGGAAAATTACATGAGGAGACACTGAAGAAAAAGACACTCACTTCTCATTAAAACTTAGCATCATATTCTGGGTGGTGGTCGTACAACATGATTAATGTAATTGAGATTACTAAATTCAATTACATTAATCATGTTGTACGACCACCACCCAGAATATGATGCTAAGCTAAATTAGGAGGTATGGTAGCATAGTGGCTAAAGTACTTGACTGCTAACCAGAAGGCTGGCGGTTCAAACCCACCAGCCACTCCTCGGAAGGAAGGTTGGGCAATCCTTCTTCCGTAGTGATACTGCCTCAGAAACCCAACGAGGGGTCGCTATGAGTTGGGGCCGACTCAGCGGCACATAACAAGAACAACAACAATCACTAAATTAGTGCACCTGAACAATGGTGAATTGGCAAATGTCATGTTATGAATATCTTTACAACAATAAAAATAGACAAATAAATAAATTGTTGATTTACTATTAAAAAAACAAAAAACTTACAGCAGAGACCATATAAGAGTAAAGTTTACCCCTGTTGCTTGTGGCTTCTACTGAAAGCCCTGTTGCAGATGTAATAACAAAGACAGCGTAAAAAGGATTCAGGAAAAATGTACAATAAACTCTCAGTTGTACTAAAGCCAGATACTTAAGAAAAGATAAAATCATTATTCAGTAAATGCTTGAGAAACAAACAGTCATGGTGCCTGGGAATCCAAACCTAAACGGCTTCTTTGATAAAAAACAAAAAACCAACCTCACTGTCGTAGAGTCAATTCTAACTCTTGGCGACCCCTCCTTGGGTTTCTGAGGCAGTATCACTACGGAAGTAGATTGCCCAACCTTCTTTCACAGGAGTGGGTGGTGGGTTTGAACCATGAGCTTTCTGGTTAGCTGTCAGATGCTTAGCTTTGATAAAGAAGGGTGTAAACACGCAATCTAAATAATACTTTTCCAGGACTGAATCTGAAATTGTAGCCTGGAATTACTGAATCTCTGTTCACTACTTTACACATTGCAGCAGTCACAAACCCCAGAACTGCAAGATCCTCAAGAAATCTAGGTAAACTTTGCATTAAAATCTCCATTAATTTTCTCCCATGTAGCCATATCTGTTTAGAGTACCTGGGTTAATTAAGAAGTATTTAGGAACTGTATGTTCAATGGTAAACTTTTCTTGGACTGTGTTGAAAATCCCCAGCTTGCACAGCTTCAGGGTGCTCTGAACTTTCTTCCGTAAAGCGGCCCTGGCCAAAGAGTTAGAATAATCGATGAGGATGTTGTAAGGAAACATGTATGCTGGCGGAGGGATTCCACTCTGCAGGAGTCTCTCTTGGGACTTGCGGAGCTTGTGCACCACAGTGAGAGAGCCAGACAGTAGACTGTGGTGGAGGAGGTCAGTCATGGATTCCGGTTTTTCCTCGTCCTCTTTTTCAGCCAGGGTGTCCGTCAGGGCAGCCTGAGGCTCTCCTCTTCTCACACCACTTCTTCTTAGGAGTGACATGAAATGCAAATTTTGACTAAGTATATTCTGTGCTTCACTAAGAGACATGCTGTGAGTTTTTTGGATATTAAATTTCTTGCTCTCTTTTTCAAAATCCTCAACAAATGCAAAAATTTCTGGCAGCTGTGGAGATAAAAAGTTGGAGGTGAGTTGGACAAAAATGTAATAGTCTGGTAGAACCACAAACCCTAGAGTAATGCAAATAGGGTAACAAACAATCACGAAAACAGAGACATGTATATTGGGAAGATGTTTTGTTTTTAATTTTTATGTGATTTGGGTGAAAGTTTACATAGCAAATTCATTTTCCATACAGTAGTTCATACACATTTTGTTTCATAACATTGACTGTAATTCCCCACTATGTAACAGCTTTCTTCCCACTTCCTCCCAGTAGTTACCTCTTCCCTGTGCCTTTGCCTCCCATGCACTCCGGCCCCCACCCCAATCTGTCTCCCTGTGCAAACACTGCCCTTCTGTTCTCCCACAGTTGATCACTGCAAGGAGTGTATTTACCTGATGTAAAATGTTTAGCCCATTGTCTGTCTATTGTTTGGCTGGAAGCCACAGGAGTGAGTTCAGTTACAGACCTGAAACGTAGCTAGAGGCCATAGTCTTAGGGGTCTCACCAGGCTTGGGAAGGTATTTTTGCCTGACTATAAACCAAGTCAGTAGTGGCAATGTGCAGGAGAGGAGAGAGTCAAAAGTTCTAGGTCACATCTTAGATTAATTCCCCCAAAAGATGTATTATTCAGAAACATCACTTAAACCTGTCTTTATAAAATGAGCCAGTTAGACCAGGACTCTAAAATCTTTAAGATCTTTCCAGATCTAAAATTTTGTGGGCTACCATGTGGAGAGACAACTATGGAGGATGTGACTTATTTATTTTGAGTGATACTGCATTTCTTTTAAGGCAGAATGGGAATCAGTCATCTAGATCAAAGCTTCATTTGTAGAGCTCAGAATATTCTGGAATGCAGTGCAAGAGAAAGCTGTAGTAATCATTCACTAGAATATTCTACAAAGCAAATGATTACATTTGTGTAAAGTTTAAGGTAATGATGATGTTGTTGTTGTTACTGATATGTGCCGTCAAGTCGAACCCGACTCATAGCGACCCCTCCTTGGGTTTCCGAGGCAGTATCATTATGGAAGTAAATTGCCCCATCTTCCTTCCGAGGAGTGGTAGTTGTTGGCAATACACAATAATAAATGATCCCTCTGAGCCTCCTTCTATGTCTAAAATTCTGTATTGAAGGAATAAAATCTCCTTTCCTAGAGTATCCAGTCTACTAATCCTGTTATCCACCACTTGTCCCTCAGTTTGTTATACTGTGACGGCTTGTATGTTGCTGTGGGGCTGGAGGCTATGCTGCCAGTATGTCATATATCAGCAGGGTAACCCATGGTGAATAGGTTTCGGTGGACCTTCCAGACTAACACTAGAAAGAAGGAAGGGGCCATCCACTTCTCAAAGAATTAGCCAGTGAAAACCTTATGAATAGCAATGAAACACTATCTGATATATTACTGGAAAACTTTATGAATAGTTGTGAAACATTGTCTGATATAGTGCCGGAAGATGAGCCCCTCAGGTCAGAAAGGGCTCAAAACCATTCAGTTGTGTGGATCATAACAAATTATGGATAACATTGTGAAGAATGGGAATTCCAGAGCACTTATGAACCTGTATGTAGACTAGGAGGCTGTCATTCAAACAGAACACGGGGATTCTGCATGGTTTAAAACTAGGAAGGGTGTGCATCAGGGTTGTGTCCTTTCACCGTACTTATTCAATCTGTATGCTGATCAAATAATCTGAAAATCTGGACTATATGAAGGATTGAAGGAAGAGTCACTAATAACCTGAAATATACAGATAACACAGCCTTGCTTGCTAAAAGTGAAGATGATTTGAAGCACTTACTGACAAAGATAAAAGACTACAGTCTGCAGCGTGGATTACATCTCAACATAAAGAAAACAAAATCCTTACCACTGGACCAATGAGCAGCATCACAATAAATGGAGAAAAGATAGAAGTTGTCAAAGATTTCATTTTACTTGGATCCTGTTATTCCTAAATGGCTTCCTAGGCCATTATATTATAAGGATAAACAAGCCAAAATTTCAAGTTAGAGACAAAATTTGGGTCATTTAGCCCAAAGTAGAATTTCCCTTTCCTCCTAGTCAGTTCTATTGCAACAGCACCCAATGGAAAGTGGGTCAAAGTAAGCGAGTGGCTCTTTAAAACTCACTCCATTATCAGGAATCTTGCCATTGTAAGAATTGAATTTGGGTGTGATTAAAAATATTGTCAGTGAAGTAAAAGTTTGGTGTTTCTTATGGCCCTCCATAATATATTGCTGGGTATTCATTAGTTTGAATTTTTACAATTTTTGAATGCATATCTTCCTTTATACACTATTAAAGAATTTTAGGTACAAACCGAACATTTGGGATACACTGCTTCCATGCTGTCATTAACTGGATTGATGTCTTCAATGTGGGGCATTGTGCTGCGATTTTATTGTTTAACCTGAAAAAAAAAAAAGAAGTATAAGGAAAAACAAGATGAATGATGAAAAGGTCAGATACAATATAGAGTGGCAAAGTGTGGGTAGTACTTTTTAAATCTTCAGAACTGGGGGGCACTTTTTCCCTTTTTTTTCCCCCCACTTTGTTGTTGTTGTTAGGTTGTGTCGAGTTGTCTCCAACTCATAGCGACCCTATGCACAGCAGAACGAACACCGCCCAGTCCTGAGCCAGCTCCATGATTCTTGCTATACTTGAGCCCATCGCCACTGCCACCGTATCAGTCCATCTCAGAGAGGGCCTTCCCCTCTTTTGTTGACCCTCCATCTTACCAAGCATGACATTCTTCTCCAGGGAATGGTCCCTTCTGACAAGATGACCAAAGTGAGATGATGTCTGGCCATTCTTGCCTCCAAGGAGCATTCTGGCTGCACTTCCTCCAGGACAGACCTGTTAGTTCTTTTAGCAGTCCACAGTACTTTCAGCATTCTTTGCCAACATACAGCTCAAAAGCATCAACTCTTCTTTGGTCTTCCTTATTCATTGTCCAGCTCTCACATGCATATGAGGTG